CAAGTCAAACTTTCAATTCTTGATGAAAATTGATTTCCATTAATTAGGATTTTTAGAACCAAAACTCCTTAAACTTATTCTATTCAACCAAACACCAAATCACATGAAATTTGGATCACACCACCACATCACATTTGAAATATACTAATTTGCACGTTCATTACGTTGAATAGTAGAATAATATCTTTTCCGAAAACGTGTATTTAAATATCAAAGCTTCATGGGTTACTAGCCCAAGAACATAAACAATCTCAAATTTGTTGTTAATTGAGTTTATATCAGTAACAATTTTGCTAAAATTTTATAAACTTTTAATTTGAATCGTAAAATTTGTGGGATCCACTACTTTTATGAGCTTAAAATCGTATATTTCATTAATTTTTATTAAAATTCACTAATTTTTTTTATAAAATTTTTGTTAAACAATCCTTCAACAAAATTAACACTCTTGATTGAGGAGCAATGCTTTTCATAAAATTTGATAAAATGTGTGGTTGAAAAATTACGAATTTCAAAAAATATATAAATAAAATTGAAGTTGGCTAGTTGAAAAATTGATAGAACTTTATAAAGTTTTATCAAACAAGTACTTAATATAAGTAGACGAATTTAAGACCAAATTTCACATAATGTATAGTAAACCAAATGTTGCTTATTTTTTTCATGGACATTGTTGAGAACTATGAATTTCCCTTGAAAAGCATTTATTCATAGTTGTTCAAGCGTCATTTCAACATTAAAATAATGACCTCTTTTAGGAAGCACTATCATTCTTTCAACTGACAACCTATGATAACTAGCAGACCTAAATTATCTCCTAGCATAATTATTTCTATTTGACAATTTCATCCCATTTAGCACCACCCAACTTTGTTATTATTTATAAGAAAAATTCCTTACGTACAAGAATTTTTGTCAGAATTTTGAAATGAATGAATCCTTTTCGTGTATGTATTTTTTCCCTCTTCCAATCTTTCAATCATTTCCATTCATTTCAAATTCCTGTATCTTTTTTGTTAAAAAACTTTGTACTTATAGCAGTGCCCTATTTATAAAAGGAAAAAGCTGAATGGCCAGGACCCACATGGCATCATGCGATTCATGCCCGGGTCCATGTGGCTCGGCCAAGTAGCTTGGTTCCATTGTTAAAAGAAAAAAGGAAAGAAGAATATTGTATTCATTGTTATTGTTGAAATCTACCTGCGAATTAAATATTCTGAACAACATTATATGAGGATTCCGACTACTCCTTTTACAGATTTTGACCTTTTAAAATAAGAATAATGTTGTTTGTACATAATAAAATTACATAATGATTTACATACAGATGATATGAAGTCCCCCAATCCATGTGTGATTATTTATGCCATGCGTGGACTTCGATAATAAAGTTAGGTAAAATTTTAAATTTTTCACTACTCACAATTAATTTTTATTAAAATTCACTAAAATTTTTGTTAAACAATCCTTCAACAAAATTAACACTCTTGATTGAGGAGCAATGCTTTTCATAAAATTTGATAAAATGAGCGGTTGAAAGATTGCGAATTTCAAGAAATGTATAAATAAAATTGAAGTTGGCTAGTTGAAATATTGATAGAACTTTATAAAGTTTTATCAAACGAGTACTTAATATAAATAGACGAATTTAAGACCAAATTTCACATAATGTTATTTATTTTTTTCATAGACATTGTTGAGAACTATGAATTTCCCTAGAAAAGCAATTATTCATGGTTGTTCCAGCGTCATTTCAACATTAAAATAATGACCTCTTTTAGGAAGCACGATCATTCTTTCAACTGACAACCTATGATAACTAGCATACCTAAATTATCTCCTAGCATAGTTATTTCTATTTGACAATTTCATCCCATTTAGCACCACCCAACTTAGTTTTTATTTATATTTCTTCCTTACGTACAGGAATTTTTTTCGGAAGTTTTGCCAGAATTTTGAAATGAATGATTCCTGTCCATGTGTGTATTTCTTCCCTTATACAATCTTTCAATCCTTTCCATTCCTTTCAAATTCCTGTATGTTTTCTGTTAATTTTGCCAGAATTTTGAAATGAATGAATCATGTTCATGTATGTATTTTTTCCCTCCTCCAATCTTTCAATAATTTCCTTTCATTTCAAATTTCTGTATCTTCTCTGTTAAAAAACTATATACTCATAGCAGTGCTTTATTTATAAAAGGAAAAAGCTGAATGGCCAGGACCCACATGGCAGCATGCCCGGGTCCATGTGGCTCCGCCAAGTAGCATGGTTCTATTGTTAAAAAAAAAGGAAAGAAGAATATTGTATTCATTGTTATTGTCGAAATCTACCTGTGAATTAAATATTCTGAACAACATTATATGAGGATTCCGACTACTCCTTTTACAGATTTTGACCTTTTAAAATAAGAATAATGTTGTTTGTACATAATAAAAATTATATAATGATTTACATACAGATGATATGTCAAAAAGAGAATGAGTAAGTTTTTTTTTTTTTNATCAAATTTTAAAATTAGTATTTTCAAATGAGTCATTATTTTGTGAGCGTCCAAATTATTAACAATGAATACGATAATCAACAAATAAAATTTCAACTGATTTTGTGACACAATTTCAATCTTGCACCCCGTTTGTTTCTCATTTTTCATCCACAAAAAATGAAAAATATGACCGTTATCCATCACATCAATCCATCAATTTTGAATTTCTATCTCTTGTATGGGGCCCAATAACGACTATATTTTTCATTCTCATTCTACAATAATGATAATTAAACGGGTCCTTAGTGCATGTTTGATATTACTTTTAAGTGTGTATACACGATGTGTCCTAAAACATAATTGAAGAATAAGTTGCAATTATACGAAATGTATGAATAAAAATATTTTTAAAAAAAGTTAAGCAATAACAGAATTCGTATAGTGCTCCAAGTTGCACATCACTTTTGTGAACCGACCTAATCGAAACTCGATTCTCATGGATAAGTGTTAGGTAAAATTATTATACATACAGCCTATGCTACACGTTTTTTGCACGTGCTAATATTTATAGATTATATGGATGTGAGTACAAATGGAACTATAGGCATATGTTTTTCGTGTAAATAATTTTATTGATTATATGACAACAATATAGTTCCATGCTAAATCATACTTGAACACAATTTTTTTGCTATTTCTAAAATTATATGAAAACCTGAATTCAATTCTTTTACAATTTGAAAGAGGATTATCGAAAGGTATTTTGGTTCAAATTGATCTTATAACTCATATCAACAATGTCGAAATTCAAGTCAACATAAAGATATTTGACTGATGATGAGAGTCAACATACAGTTTAGGGCATGTTTGATAGGCCCTTATTTTCCTTGGGAGTTATAATTAAAATTTCATTTCTTACTTTTGCCATATTTGTTATTTGATAGCATTTATTTTCCCAGAATTGCTTTTTCACCTTTGCTAGTTTTATTGAAATTCTCACATGAATTGAAATTTCATCCTTTTTCTTTTTTTTTTGCTTTTTTTTGGGCAATAAAAACAAATTTTATCTCCAATTGTAAAAAAAAAAAAATATATATCTCTTTAATTGACAATTTTCATGTAAAACAAAGTCAAACGAACGCCAAATTTTTTTAATTTTTTTTGGCAATCGAAACAAATTATATTCCCAATTGTAAGAAATTATATCTCTTTAATTGACAATTTTTATGAAAAATAAAGTCAAATAAACACCAAAGGATAGAAAATTTCAACATTTCATGGAAAATTATATCAATCAAACACAATTAATTGACAATTCCTAATAAAATAAATTTTAGACAATTCCCAACGATTCGTTTTCTTTCCACCCAAATTTCGTCTTTGAATCAAACAGATCCTTAAAGCTTTTCTCCATCCTTTACAGATAAGAGAGGTGAACAACCACCATAAACAATTCGAGACAGTCCCATATGGACATGATTGACAATTTTTTCAGTTAGGGTGTCTTTTCATTGTACATGATGTCAAAGATAGGTAAAGATTATAAAAATTTATTATTTACAATTTAAAATAATGTGAACAAATATCATATTTTAATATATAGAACTTGTTTAGGAGTGATTTTAATCCAATTAGAATTGAAAATATAGCAGTTATTGGGTCTCATTCGTTTGATAAAAGGCAACAATAACAACTATATTTTCAATTTTAATATGATTTTAATCCCTACCAAACAAGCTTATAATATATCTACTCGCATCCACGTATTCAAACTACTATGACTTCAAAGCCACCGACTCCAAGTACAACGCAAAAATGCTTAAAGCAAAAAATATGTAAAAAAATTGAATAATGCTACTTTGCCCGAAAAATGCGACATAATGGTTGACAAAATAAGTGTTGTCAAAATGTGATTGGTTGAAAAAGTTGACTGTGTTTTAAACAGTCTAATGATAGGTTGTCATGTGGCATTATGTCAATAATTATGTCAACCATATGTTCTTGGAGCATGATCGAAAAAAAATTCACATCATATTTCAAGTTAAGTAATTTTAATTTGAATTTTGATCAATCGCATGTTTTCTCTATAGAGGGTGAGCAATTGATTGCGTAAGAGCATATTTGAAATTGGGGTAAATGGCGCAAAACGTCCCTACCTTTGAGGGTTGTTGTGGAAAACGTCCCTACCTTTCGTTTTTTGGTGTAGAACGTCCCTACCTTTCACATTATTTGCGGAGAAGGTCCTTTTCACCTATTTTTCACTTTAAATGACCATTATACCCTCCTATATAAATAAAACAAAAAAGAAAAGAAAAGAAAAATAAAGAATAAATTACACTCTTACTCCTAATCTTTTTAAAAATGCAAATCAATCCAAAATTTATAAAAATATTAAAAATAACAAAAAAAATAAAAAATTCTCGCTCTCTCCTCCTTCGCCTCCTCCACCGGCCGCCGCTGCCGCCACCAAAACCCTAAACCATTCAATCTCTCACTTTTTATCTCAAATTGAAGGAGTTACTGGCAGACTCCCAACATCATAGTGCACGAGTGACAATTATTATTCAATATCACAACCAAATTTGAAAGAGAGGGCTGAAAATCAGCATCGTGCTTATCTAGCCGAGAAGAACAAAAAAACACAGAGTTGAGAGAACCCAAGAACGTTGGCTGCCTCGAAGAAAATGAAACAGATGACTGTGCTTCCTCTAGTGCCGAAGTTTCTTCTTCCTTTGTAACAGGAGCATCAGATCTGAATGCGAGGATGAAGTTCGACTTAAATGAAGGGGAAATTACAGTGGCTGCTGCTGCCAAAGGTCCCTTTGTTCCTCCAGATGATTTGTTGAGAATTAAAGGGGAAATTGGATGGAAGGGATATGCTGCCACTTTAGGCCGGCTGAACCCAGGAAGCTTCCTGAAAACACTACAAAGGATTAATTT